CCATTGAAAAGAGCCCTTCCCCCTTCCCACCTCTATAACCTAATGCACACCTTCAAGCGCGTCGATACCTCCCGGATTTCAACGAAAGTTCACGTCCGCGTCGCAAGGAGCAAGTGGTAATAATAATTATAATAATAATAGAGTTGCCAGACGTCGGGCACAAAGCGAGCCTTTCATTCGGTACACCGTAGGTGCATGATTTCCGCCCCCTGCCCCGCGATCGAGGTTGGCGTCGTGCGGAATTAATATCGAACTCACGGTCTCGCCATTCATAGCGCCTAATGCAGTTTCGCCTTTACATTTTGCAACCTCATCGTATTCGAGTCCTCTGTGGTACATTTATCCCCCCGCACGCGTTTACCCATTGATAATACACGCATGTTTTTTCGAGCATACCTTGGCGTATACACATGGGTGGGCCCATCGATTTTCAAAGCTGCCCTTTTTCTCTTCACGCTTCGTCACGCGGTATACATATCGGATCGAAAAATCAAATCCCATCGACGTCCCACTGGGTGTGTGTAGTTGGAGCTACTTTCAAGCCCCCATCTTACGGTAGACAGTCCGTATAGCTATACAGGGGACCTCGGCGTTTGACGATCAAGTTTTAATGTGATTTCGGAGAGGGAGCGTCCTCTCTATCTCACCCCACCTTCGACGGCGATGTGGAATTTCTCCTCCTCTACCTGTTCCACTTGACTAGGGATATAGCTGGATTTGCTAACTTATCAACAAAGGACCATGCCGGGAGCGCGATTTCCCTCCGTGATTCCTTTAGCTCTCACTTTTAGGCTGTGGAAATAGCATTGGGAATTTACGATGAATCGATTAAAGTTGAAGATACATTGGATCCTTGTGTTCGAAACTGCGCTGGATGATAATCAGAACAGAGCCAAAAAAAAATAGTTGGTGAACGAGAAGAAGTCGTTTCAAGTAGTATAGCCAGGCAGTGGTCAGACGTGCTCAGAATTTAGAGTAAATAAAGTGCATACAAGAGTAAGTTGGTAGCATAACCATATAGTTTAGTACAAATAAATGGTTCAAGGCGTTTTCAGTAGTATTAACTGATTATGGTCAGACGTGCCCTTTGTTTTTTCAATTTATTGCATGGACTACCGACTCATTAATTGAAATCGTGAAATATTTTTTTCGTATCGTAATGCCTACTTTACATCCGTCGGATAACGCCCATACATATAAACGGTTGTTTGTAGAGTCGAGTACACATGCTCAAAGGTATTTTAAGTAGTAGAAACTGTTTATGGTCAGACATGCGCCTCTGCGTTCATTGAACGTTGGCTCATTGGTATCACGTAAAGTTTTAGTTATAATACCACAACATTGTTATTTTTGCTTCGAAACAACAAAACACGAACGTACATTCGAACAATCGCAACGACCCTTAAGCACCGGTTTCACAAACCCTGCAAGCCATCGCCTGTTTAACGATCGATTAACTTGTCCACGAGCATTGCCGGTTATGCAGTCAATTACGATCACACCTTCGTACGAGATGTACCTAGTGGCTCCCCGTTTTTGGACGCCAGCCGAGCAAACGAGGAACTTCCGTGACTCTCTCGGGCAAAGGGTCGCGGTCCGATTAAATTTATGCGGCAAATTCCACGCGGTTCGGGTCAACAGGCAACCCCTTTATTCCGGCCGTCACTTGTACACGTAAAAACCAAATTGTCCGTATGGGACGCTCTCTCGATGCCGAACTCGGCCCCCTAATGATTCATACGGGACAATAATAGTAAATTGCAGTGCAATCAATACGCCATCAGCATAAATCCGCACGCGAGTCCGCTGAAACAGTAATGACACCGGTCGACCGTAGCAGTGGAAGAGAGTGAGAGATAAGTAATTGACCACGTGTATCATTAGGAGACACGAGAGGGTGATTATCCGGATGGGCCATTGGTGGCGTGGAAAAACAAATCGGTACGAGAAAACTCCAACGAATCGCCAACGCGAATCTCGTCCCCAAAACCTATTGGGCTCGACCGCTAATTATTGCCAGCCTGGCTCGCTCAAGTATACGCGGAGACTAGCGCGTCATCAGAATCGCGCCAAAACTTTACGGGCAGGTATCGAACAATGCGGAAAATTTGCACGATGTGGCGACAAAAGGGGCCGCACGACACAGCCCTGTAAGATGCCGCGCTAATTGGAGCCCTCGTTTAATGAGGCTGTTACACCAGAGGGTGGCATCCAGTGTCTTTTGTGCACATCACTCGCGGTATGTTTATGCTCGCGCGAGGCACCGACTATTTAGATACAGCCGAGCCGAGGTCCAAGGCCTGTACGGTAATTAGACAAAGAGCCTACGTTCTCCTTCAACGCCCAGATAGATACGATATTAGGCCGCTACGGCTCTTTTGTGCAGTACATCGTGCCCCAGCACGTAATCTATATATATGTACATATCGAACTTACCGTGGTGGGAGTGAATACTTTTGTCCTACCTATACGTGCCGGTGATTGTATGGGTGTGTGTTTATGCACGGCCCTGCACGTAGCGGCGCGACGCCTCGAAATCTCGATAGATACGAATCGGCACAGATATTTCTCGGCTGCACGAAGGAGCGAAGGGTGTATACATCGTATACCTCCTCATCCCTCTTCTTCGTCTTGGGCTTTTCTAGCGGGTTCCATCGAGTTATGCGATGACGAGGAGAGATGAATATAGAGGACCCGTGGGTCAGCTTGTTTTTTTTTTTTTTTCTCTTCTCGTTCATCTAATTTATGGATGGAGATGGGTGGAGAACCATCCACCTTGAAAGGGTGAAATCGTTCCCAAGCGTGTGTGCACTGTGACGGGGAAAGGGGGCAGGCGCTCCCTTCATGGATACCGCGATTTCTCACTATCTCTTACTATTTGAGGGAGCTGTGTCGCTGGCTAGGACTATCCCCTCCTTTTTTAAAAACCCCCTCTGTGCCTCAAACTCGATGTATATACCGCGAGTTTCGGGGTAGATCCAAAAACGACTCTGTTTGATCGATTCTAGGCCCTCCTTGCCGACCATTACTACGTGAATTGTACTCGCGGAGTTTCGGATTTTCAAAGTTTCGCGGATACTTTGGTCAATTTGGAAGTACATTGTGCACGTGAACCCACACTCGGTGTATATCGCGTCATTGGGGATGAATCGAGAATTTCCTGCGACGTGTTCAATCTAAAAACCAACCCTGCACGCATATCCGACCTTTCCTCTTTTTTTCTCACGTCTAAAAAAAAAAAAAAAAAAAAAAAAAAACCATCCATCATCATCGACTGATGGACTCGTTATCGAGAGCCCGGGGGATGAAAAGCTGTTTTTCCCCCCACTCGCCTCTGCTCCTCCGAGGCTCGCGCGCATTCGGCATTGCATTCGAGTCGAAGGGGGGATGGAATACCGCGCGTGAAATCTCCCCCCCCCCGCGCTATAGAAACTCTCTTTTTTTTTTTTTTTTTTTTTGTTTCTCCGTTTACTGTTTCACTTTCGACGCGGCCTACTGAAAGGCCTTGCCCTCCGTCCTCGGTGTGCATGTATATATTGTCGTACGCCCTCGACGGGGGCGCGCGAGTGTGTTTGCTCGCTGATGTTAATGAAATGGCGCTTTTGCGCTACGCGCGCACTTGACGCTCTTTGCTACGCTCGACCTTTTCTTTTCCTTTCTTCCTTTCGTTGCCTCGCTCCGATGATAACGATGCCAGTGGTGAAGGCTCTCTGCTTTCATTTTGCCTCCGTGAAGATACACCCGGAGATCAACCGCGTTAAGAGCAACAACGTCATCTGCCGTGCGTGTCGGGTCCTCGCTCCGTTGGAACTGCACCGTAAGAGAATTTCGTAAAGATACTCGTGATGAAAAAAAAAAGAAAAAAAAAAAAAGAAAAGAGCTTGTAGATGCGTTGTTTGTTCCTACTTGTATGGGTGCGCGCGAGCGTAGAGCTCCGATTTCCGCGACAAGATGCTCCCCCTTCCGCTTGAAATGTTTTGTTGACGCTACCAAAGGCCCGTGTCCCCTCCTTCTTCTTTTTTTTTTTTTTTTTTTTTTTTTTTCCTTTCCCCAAAATGAAAAACCCCCCGGGGGGGTTTTTTTTTTTTTTTTTTTTTTTTTTTTTATTGAAATTTCGCGAGTTATGCCAGACTCCGGAATCGAGCCATTTCCCGTCTAATTGCCAGCTGGATCGTGCCAACGCAGAAAGGAGTGTATATAAACGAGGGGGGGGGTGAGATACGACCTCGCCCACACGCTCTGGCGTACGCGTTCCATCTCTGGGCAGTGTGTGTGTCCAACACCGCGTTCGTTTGCTGAGCCAAGAGTACGGGGTGGACGAGAGAAAAAAAGAATAAAAGGTTGGATGTGTCGCTCCAGCCGACAAAGACATATGGCTTCTCGGGGGTCCTTAAATCGCTCGTACCCATCAATTTATCCGTCCTGGGAACGATTTAATTCTCCAACCAAGGAAATGCGCAACAACGCACGAGTTTCTTTTTTTCCCCCTCGATCTGACACACATACAGCGCTGGTTCAGAGTTTGGTTTGTATTATCTTTATCTCAAGGTCTCCGCTCTGCTCGAGGCGGCGAAAAAAAAAAAAACAAAAAGATTGCACCTAGAACGTATCGACAAAGACGGGCCATAAATTGTTTTAGTGGGATGAAAAAAGAAGAAGAAGAAGAAGAAAAAAAAAGAGATAAAACAAGGAACAACAAAAGTAGCGTTCGATACGCCAAGGCATCCACACGTGACAAAGGGAGCATTGTGCGGAGCAGGTGGGTTCATTTGAATTTTGTTCGGCGCAACAAAACAGAGGAGAGGAACATCAGAGGCACAATAGGAGAGGCAGATGGACAAGATAGGCGAGTGGGTGGGGGTGCTGGTTGAATTTGAAAGAAGAGGAGCGCCCTCCTCGCGAGAAAAAGAGAAAGAAAGAGATAAAGAAAGCGGGAGCCGACGAAAAAGGCAAGCGAGTCGGCAGGGAAGCGTCGTAGTCGCCGGTGAGAGGGGCACGTACGCCCGTGGCGTCTGTCTCGTTTATCACCGGCAGTTCTCTCGCGAAACCAGTACCCGCCAGCTGTCGTCGAGTTTCTCCGTCCGTTTGCGCGTCGGGAGGCTCGGCCCGATTCGTGCATGTCGTACGTATAGTGTGCCTACACACCCACACCCACACAAGGATGGAGGGTTCGGTGGCTCTGCAGTGCGATTTGCTGCCGCAGCACGCAACGTCGCCGTCCCCGTCGGCTCTGACGTCGCCGAGGCCGAGTTTTCGGTGCCCCAGTACCAGCAGCAGCAGCACGGATGACCACCACCACCAACAACAACAACAACTCAGGAGATTGAGCCGGCAATCCCAGCAGCAGCGCATGAGCGTGTGGACCACCGGCGAGCACGAGTGAGTGTCTTATCCGAAGAAATAGCGATTATTTTACAAAGGACTAACGATAAATAAAAATAACCAAATCGTGGGACTGCAAGCGTCGAAGGGTGTTACATCGAGTGGCTTTCGATAACTTTGAAAGTTTTTTTTTTCTTGTTTTTTCTTTTTTTCATCTTTAAAAGCGAGCGGTTCCAGGGTGGTGCAGATTAAACGACAGAAAAAATAAAAATAAAATAAAACAACCCCTATACCAAAGCGCACCTTGTCTGTATCTCAGTAGGTGGCCTAAAATAAATCCCAGCCCCTCTCGAGAGATACAAGTGCGGTGCACGAGTCACGTGCACGAGGAGGCTCGTGCTTATTTTAAGGACGCCGATTTAATTTAAACCAAGAGGGAGAGGAGAGTCCTCCCCTCGCCGCAATCGGAGGCACCTTACGACGAAGCGGACGATATTTCGACGGGGCCGCGTTTCACTCTCCGTTTACTCATTCATCCGCGGCTCGCACGCCGTGAACAGGTGGTTAGAGAAAGATTGAAATAGCTTGGATAGGTATAACACGTACCCCACCAAAAAGGGTGATCGCTAACGAGTTGGTCCGTACGATGGAATATAGGAGCGATGACCAACAATAACCCGATACCACGACCCCTCACCCCTGATGAATTAAATTTAGCTTAGTCCATGCATATGGTCAACTTTGCTCCGAGCACCGATTGCATCCATTTTCCTTGGTTCAATCGTATACGTGAAGGAGTAGCTTTGCTTTTTCGAAATGATTTTTCAAATNAAAAAAAAAAAAAAAAAAAAAAAAAAAAAAAAAAAAAAAAAAAAAAAAAAAAACATCCTGATTACTCTCGACGTCGATGTTTCACGAAACCAAGCAAGGACAAAAATAGTTGTGTATACACATACCTTCTCGTACCGTACGTATAAAGCAATTACTCACGAGAGGGCCATATCGTTGAGACAGGTATATATGTGGGCACGTGTACACGTCCATACGTCAAACTAGATGATATGCTCGGATATATATCGGGGAGTCTTGTCGGTTTTAATCGAAAATTTTCGGTTATCGAGTAATCGCCCACGAGCCTGCAGTGTATCGTTAATTTACGTGGAAACTCTCACCGACGCGAGAGAAGGGCAATTTATCCTCGAGACCAAGACCCAGAAGACGACGACGAGGGGAGGAACACACACACTTACACACGTGTAACCGAGAGCGAGGAACACATGAGATTAAAGTTGGGCTCGCACACGTACGCCACACCATATTACAGATCGCCAGGCTTCGTACCTCAACGTCGCTCAGCTACACGTATGTATGGATAACGTGTACGGCCGACGTCACGAGAAATCGCCCTATAATCTTTGAGCGAATCAAGACACACGTCTTGGACTTTCGACGGATTTACGCGACACCCTTGTTTCCCCGAACTTGATCTTACTCATTTCTCCGTCAAACGAGAATTTTGACCGTTTTGGGGTATTTTTTTGCAGTCAGCATAACTATCTCTCCCCTCCCCCGAACGCACGAAGGAAGGTGTTTTGTCGCCGTTCACGCGATCCCACAAAGATTCTGGCAGTCGGCCACCCTGATAAAACCCACGGAAATAGGGGGGCTATTATTGTGCCTGTATACGTATACCCTCACTGCACCGACAGCTCGTAAATACAGATAGTTTCCGTGCATTCCGCGAGTTTAGCGCGTTTTTTACGACACGGCGCCTCAACTTTGTGGGTATATACGGCGCTGGAGCTGCAACTGTATCGGGAATTTCGGAAATTCATGCATCATCCCTATATACGTAGTATCGGAAGCACATAAATCGAAGCCGCGGGAAATATTGTTCGGCGAAATGATTGACCATCCGGTGCGTGGGAATGCCAATGGAAAATATTTGTTTATGATTTGTTTTCCAATCACCAACACTTTGGGCTTTTTTCGATGACCCCTTGCTCCTTTCAATTTTTCTTGAGTCACGTCATGGGGGGGAAAAAAAAGGGACGCGATAACAAAAGTGGCCGTCCAAGTAACCAGGGGCTTCCTGTTCCCCCAAATTAATCCAATTCGCGCGAAAACGCCAGCTGAGCCCCTCTCTCGGGGAACAAGGTCAAAGTTTCGGGTGGACTATGGATGCTGGTTACGGCCACAACCTACCGGTAAAACTACACGCTTGGGAGTAGATGGGTATGGTGGAGGCGGTATACAGAGACTTAGTGGTCGGGGAGGGACAGCGCGGCTGCCGAATAATAAGATGGGAGGATCGGGATTGTTACACACGTAACTTCTCCCCCACCCCCCCCACACACAACTCTCGGGGATCTTCTTCGAGTTTGTTGGCGCACGAGTTTCCTCCATCTTATCTCTGCGTGTATGTATCTTTCGGGGCTTTGTCGATTTCGGGGGTTTTACCGAGGGGTTGTTGTTTTTTCTTTTACAATTGCGATATTCCATGTCGTTGTTGGACTTTTCAAGAGTTTTCCTCTGGTATTATTTGAATTATCGCGGCATTACGTACAAAAGTTTCTTCATGAAGCGTATGCTTACCGGTAGAATTTAAAATAAAAGCCTTTCAAGCTCGACTTTAAAGTCTCGGCTGGGCTCCACGTGCCCGATCGATCCGTAAAAAAAAAAAAAAAAAAAAAACAGGGAAGCTCAACAAAAAAAGGTTGCTCTTGGAAGCGTGGAACTTGTGTACTAGTATGTCCGTCACTTTTACTTCTTCTCTCTTTTTTTATTTTTTATTAAAAGCATATGGACGACCATAAGGCCACGTACCTACGTAATTATACCAGTCTCCCGATCCTTATTGGAGCAAAATATTTTCGCCGTGCGCGACATATTTTTCTTTTTCTTCACGGGCTAAACGTAGAGGCAGCCCACTTGGGTGTACATGAAATGTGAAATATTCCTCTCTACGATGAGAGCGTACACCTGCATAGTTGAGGAAGAGAGTGGGGGTGAAAATTACGGTAATCGCCGGGGGAGATACGAGCAAGGGGTGTGCAGGGCGCGTCCGTTTTTTGCGTCTCTTGTCGGCGCGTCGTGGCCGGGCCAAAAAGCTTTTAAGCGCTCGTTAATTTTTCACGCGCGACCCGTTAGCCCGGTTTTGCTCCTTGGTGCCGTATTGTGCACGTGCGCGCGAGGGAAAAGGACGAAACAACGGGACATGGGGCAGGAGGCGTGTGAGCGGCTTGACTTTGGTGTAAATAAAATATGCGTTTTTTGATTTGGATCGTCACGGGAGGCAATTATTTTGTTGGGTGACCTAATAATAACTCTATATCCTCGTTGGGATTGAGATTCCTGAAGTGTTGGAAAAAAAGGTATCTGAAAATAAAAATTAAAAAATATATGTCACGATAAGAGAATATTATGTTTTCCGTGGTTGGAAAGTACAGATTTGGTAGACAATTTTGTCCAACTCAACCCTTTTAAATGAGAAAAACAAGAGCACATTCAACAGAACGAGGGCTAAGAGATTTACTTCGATTCGAGGGAATCGCCTTTTAATAAAATCACCCAATCCCGCTGGCTTTGCACAATCGAGCCGATTTGGCTTCCAAAGATTCAATTTGGATTCCCTCAACTGTACGTGCTCGTACGACGAAAACTAATGGCTCACGTGGGTACATGTATTATCTACGAGTGTAGAGAAAAAAAGAGTAATCCAACCATTAAAGGGGGAAAAAAAACAGACCCAAAGAGCTTGACAAACGGTGCACGATTCAAACTAGGCGTAAATGTTTCGTCTGGTCGTGTGAAATCGTTGATGAATCGACCATCATGCACACATTTTCGACACTTCTAGATAAATATTTTTTTTTTTTTTTTTTTTTTTTTTTTCAAAAACCTAATGTACTGTTTCTGCTGGTACAAAAAATGTTCTAGCATAAATGAAGCATTCGATAAATAGAAAAAAAAGGAAGGTATTTAAAAAAGCATTCGTGCCCCGAAAAGTCCGTGGATCGACGTGGATGCTTGATACTGCATTAAAACACCAGTATGCGAGTACATGTGGGTAATCTAAATTAAGAGCAGAGATCAGCTCGAACGAAAAAGGTCTCGAGTAGCTGGTAGAAAACAAAATTCGTTCGAACGCACGGGCTATTCATCACGCGAGGAAAACATATACAACACCCCCTCGCGTGGTTTTTCATTATCAACTCCATTGTGCGTGCGGGGTTTTTTACTCCCCTCGGCACGCGAGCCACCGTGCCCGATAAAAACACGGGTGAGGGAAGGGAGAGAACTCTATCCCAATTCCTCGGGAAGCGATGTGGAGTTGAAAAAAAAAAAAAAAAAAAAAAAAAAGAGGAAGCCCTCGAGCTGGAGGGAGAGAGACCGCGTGTAAACATTCGCGGTTGTAGCGCTCCAGTTCCATTGTTCTCGGGGCTCGATTATCGGCTTGCTTTTCCGCCCTCCCGTGTACTTCTTGCCCCTCAGGAAGGCAAGCTTTTTTTTTAATCTCTTCCGTTTTTATTTATACCCCGAGCACTTTTGAAGAGAAAAAAACGATGGAAAATAAAACGGGAGCGCGCGGGAATGATCGAGATGTTTTCGAAGTGTTTGCGCCCACGATTGACTCCCGCTGATCCTTGGAGCTTTCCCCAGAGCTCGTCCCCCGCGTACGATCTTCGTTAAGTACATTGTGTTACAGCAAACACAAGCGAAGAAAAAAAAATTTACTGTGCAACAGTCCCTGTGCGTGCACTCTGAAGCTGCTCTCGGCATACACGAGACTTTGATCTTTTCTATCGCTCGAAATTAAAAAAAAAAACCCTTTGTGAATCATCTACCCTCTTTGACCAAAAAAAAGGAGACGTATCCAGGAAATTTAGACGCGCCGTCCTGGTTATAGGTACTCTCCATCATCCTCACAATTGATTCTTCGCAGTCGACTCGACAAGACGAAATCTTTACTTCCCCCCATTTTTGTCGATCGAAATCACTAAAAAAAATAATAAAATTCTACTCTCATCGCCCAAAGCGGCTTTTCGCTCGTACGC